CAGACTAGTTTCGGAGAATTCCACTCCTCATCTTGTTAAACAAATGTTTAAACAGCTCTACTTATTCAATTATGTTGGCTAACAATACGAAGAATTAAATTGTGGCGAAATGCTACAAGTTCTTCAAATACCTATAGAATGATAGGTTTCTTTTTTTGTGACTGTAAAACACGTAAATACACCAGTTTGATCAAGCATACAGTTGGTGTGAATGTGCTTTGTAGTCACTATGAGAAACCTATACACTGGATAGGTGAAGAAAAAGTGTCATTGGCCACTATACAGTTCTTCACATTATATAGCCTTCAAGATTAAACAGTTTTTGGAATACTAAGTTTATTTATTAATCAAAGAAGACTAAAACTGTAATAATGAAGAACAAGAGAGTGTTACACAAAATACGTGTGCTTAGGTTAAAAGGTAAATTCAAGAAGGTGGGTCAATGATAAAAGAAACTAACTGATTCATAATGAAAATAATATCAATATATAGATTGCAATGAAGTTTTAGAAATCATGATTTCAAACCTTGAGAGATTGTACAAAGCATATTTAAATGGATTTTGTTATCTGTATCACACTTCAGTCAGTACAATATAGAGATGATTCCATATGCCTGTAAGTTAAAGATTGTTGAAACAATTTATATACGAGATATAACCAAGTGAAGTAACAAGTAGAGTGCTCTTTAAGACAAATACTGATGATAAATAATATTAAAATATTCTGATTAGAGACCCAAATACTCTAATGATTAAAAAGTTTCAAATGAGTATTTGGCCAAAAATGTAACACTTTTTTAAACTAAAGAAACAGGCAAGCAAAATAATGATGCATTTGAGTGTAAAACTACCAGCATAAGAATTTTTTTTGTTTTTATTCTGCTGCTCAGGGTATTATTTATTTAATAGATTTTGATTTAAACCAAACTAAATATATGTAGATCAGAACAAAAATGCAACCTAAATTAATGAAGCCATTCATACAGCAAATTAACTAGATGTACATATGTCATAAATATAGAAGAATGCTAAAACCTGTCATGATCAGAAGGTATTGAATCATTAGTTGGGTACCAATGGTTAAATAATATGTTTAGCTGTACTTACAATATTTCATGGAACAAAGTTTAATTGTGAATGACTTTAATAGTAAAATATTATCATTAATTAACAATTATCAATAAAGTTTCATAAAAAAAAATATAGAAGAAACTCATGAAAAGAGTGACTGAATTACAGGAATAATATAAGAAGCTAACTAAAATATTCCTCTTTATGAATCATTCAGACCCAGTGGCTAGTGTGGTAGACTGTGGATCTGAGAATCTATGGTTCATGTCCATTTAGTGTAAAAAAAATATTCAAGCACCTCACCTTGGGGCTGTAAGTGCATTATAAGAGTGACAGCCAAATCCCACTATTCAGTCTGATAATAGTTGATTTAGGATGATGTTGATTAAGTGCCTTCCCTATAGCCTATCACCTAATAATTAGGGACAGATAGCCCTCAAGTACTTTGCAGAAAGATCAACAAAATAATCAGTATATCAAACAAATGAAAAACAGCCTAACATCTCTGAATCAATTGCATTATAAACACCTTTTTACTGGACGCTTTAATATTAGCCCTGGATAAAAATGAGCTATTCTATCCCAGAGACACTAGGAGGGACTTCACGAACATATCGGTTGCAAACGAGTTTTTAAATTCAATAACATTACAAAAATGCTTCCTTTGCTTTTCAACAGAAGTTATGGTAATTGATGCCAGAATAGAAGTTAAAAAGTATATCATCAAGACCTTGGCAAGGGCGATTGTATTAAACTTTTATTTAATGTTAATAAGCTTTACGTTAGACGTTTGGCTTGAATACAGTTAATACCTTTTATTTTTTTTAGCAATAAAGTAGATTGAAATGATAAAAGATAAAAATGATATATTACACATTCGTGATGAAACCCATGCGTGAAATTAAGGGACTTCCAACCATGTATGTAAAGCATTTTATTTATCTTTTTATTCTTTCAAGTAGCGTGATTCGTGCTGTAATATATTTTATATAGGCCTATATATTCGATGTAGTGTTTCATCCTGCTCATTCTTTATGGTTCTTATTTTATTCAACTTTGAAAACAAAAAAATTGTGAGTCTTGTTATAAGAACATACATGGAGGATAATAAGAACAGTGAGTCGTGTTATAAAAACATACATGGAGGAGAACAAGAACAGTGAGTCATGTTTTAAGAACATGGATGGAGGAGAACAAGTGTTGGAATAGTTTAAAAAGTTCAGCCTCTTTACCACGCATGATGGGTAACAATCAACAATAATATAAGTTTATGTTCATCCAGTGGAAAAGTCAGAAAACAACATCATCGTAACAACATTCATGCTTCTTCTTCTTATCATACACACACATACACAATATTTTTTCGGGGTCGTTGTCATAATATTTTATGAATTATCAAAATATTATACTAGGGCACTCGACTCGCAATCTGCGGGTCGTGGGGTCGAATCCGTAGCTGAACATGTCCGTTAAAGCATGGGGGTGATATATTGTGACGGTTAATCCCACTGTTCTTTGGTAAAGAGTAGCCCAAAAGTTTGCGATGGGTGGTGTTAATTAACTGCTTTTTTTATAATCTATCACTTCAAAATTAGGGACGGCCATTGAATAGCTTTACGTGAAATTAAACAAGCAATATTCTAATAACATTCACATTTACCGCAATGCCTTATAACATTTTAATTAAATTTCAAGTGGTGTCTAGCGATGTTATTACAAAATATATTATTTAATGTTGGGGAAAGTATAAAGTATGAATTTCATATTAGTTGGTGTTGCTAGCCTGATGTCATAAAAGTGGGTAGGGACTGCAGTATTGAGAGATAGGAAAGGTATTGTTAAGTGTTTTCCAGATTTTTTTTTAATAGGTGTGCTCAATATAAATGTATATTGATGCAAGAATAAGGTAGTTAAAAAGAACAATTAGCGATCGAAATAAAAAAAAAAGAGTTACTATTTGTCAAAGCAAATTTGTTTTTTCTTATAAATAAACCCTGACAGGCATTTGATGTCATAGAAAAAAATTATGCGTTATACTCTAATTTAACTGAATAATCACAATCATTAACTGTACAAAACTAAGTAAACGTTTGTGAATATAACAGCCTTAAAGTGTTTAATAACGTGTTTGTATATTATATAGACATTTAACGAAATATTTCGGTTTTTTCAGTTACCAGATAATGATAATTTTAACTTAGGGCTCCTAGATAGATTTGTTTTCTATGTTAAGATAGGCATAGTATTCTAATAAATGTAAGCGATGAACTTAAAAAAGGAGCCAGCATCATGACACAAATTCCGGTATTTGGTATGTTCAATTTGACTTATGAGTCAAACAACTCACTCAAGGGCCCAAGTTTCAGGCGAAACCACCATTAATTTAGAACTGTTAACCAATCTGCAGAAGCCGCCACCTGCTTTGTTACTCTTAACCAAACAGCTGGATTGACTGTCACTTTTATAATGCGCCTTCTGTTGAAAGTTAATAGCATGTTCATCCAGTTGCTCAGGAGAAAGTCTGAGGACTTACAATGCTAAAAATCGGATTTCGATACCTGTGGTAGGCATATCATAGACAGCAAATTGTATCGCTTTGCTCTTAACAACAAACAAACTTTGACCTTTCAATCTGCAGACTGACATGCTAACTGCTGTTGTCGCGCTTGACCTATGCGCAAATTTTCAGTCATCCTTATGAGAACCGTTCGATATACAAGACTGTTCAGTTTCAGAGTTATTGTTCAGTTTATTTAATGATTATTTATTTTTTATAACAACAGTCTTAAAAGTTAATTATTTTAAAATCGATAGTTATGACAAGTTTCATTACGTAACTTTGGACGAGTCGCACTTTGTGTATGTAGTTTAATTGTTGAACAAGACTTTTGTAATATTGTTGATGTAATTTTACTCGAAACTTCTAGGTTTATCTCGTTATCTGTAATATCGTTATTACTGTTTGTGTTTTCTTATAACAAAGCCATATCAGGCTATCTGCTGTGTCCACCGAAGGGAATCGAGCCTCTGATTATAGCATTGTAAATCCGAAGA